GCCCCTTATTGCTGATTGGCTACAAGTTTGTTTTGCGATTCGGCCCGAATCAGTTTTATAAAGTGTTTTTGAAAAATCACTTACTATGCCTTTAAGAAACCGCTTCACAAACGGTCTTTTCAACTACACAGTATTATTTCTGTCGTACAGTCATTCATATTATCCCAGAAATACTGGGATGAAAGTTTATAATTCACATATAAACATTGATGTCTATGGTAGCGCGACCAAAATAGAGCAAATCCGCGTTTGAAAGTAACTGCCACATAACGTTTGTGTCGATTGCATTGTTTCGCCACTAGGTGGCGAAAAAGTGACTTAAAAAATGTATAATTGAATGAATCATTTATTCAAGAGAATCGTTCAAAAACGCTGATTCATCCAGGAGGTTTAAGAGCGAGTCGTTGAATCATTGATTCAAACAACTTTTTCATAATTTTAATATTAAATTGGTGTATTAAATATATTATATTTTAAATACATATACACTACCAGTCAAAAGTTTTAAAAATATATATTTTTAATGTTTTTTTTTTTTTTTAAAGAAGTCATGGGAGAATCGTGATCTCTATTTGAGACAAAAAAAATTGTGATTCTCAATTTATCCAGAATCGTGCAGCTCTACCGACCATATACAATACTGATTTTGGTGGAAACTCCATTTTTTCTAAAATGGCGTTTATCGCATTTTGGAACCAAACTCTTCACATATATATATATGTATATATATACTGTATATATATATATATATATATGTAAAATTTATTTTATTTACTTTTTTGTATTTACTCAATATAATAATTAACTAATAGATTTTCATTTTTATGTCTACATTTTATGGTTATGCAAAACAATATGGCTAATTTTGACTATTTAACTAACTTATGAAGATATATAAATAATAACTTGAAAAATGTTTAATCACAAAAAAAAATGTTCTTTAGAATTAATTAAAATGAACTGTTTGGACTAATTAAAATGTTCTGTTCTGTGACTGTTGAACGCAATTCAGTCAATTCAGATTCAAAATTCTTGTGGGGGTTCAGCATTTTTAAATTCAAAACTCAAAATTCTAAAGTCTAGTCAGTTCAAAGGCAACTGTGTCCTAATTTCCATTGGATGTACAAGTAGAACATCCACTTCCCTACTACACTCTTAAAAATAAAGGTTCCAAAAGAAGGTTTTCACAGCAATGCCACAGAATTATTATTTTTGTCTCCCTAATGAACCTTTTCTTAAAGGTCCTAAAAGAACCATTGTTTTCTTAGTGTGAAGAACATTTTAAAATCTAAAGAACCTTTTTTTCCACTATAAAGTACTTTTTGTGAAATGGAAAGGTTCCATGGATGTTAGAGGTTCTTCATGGAACCATTGGTGCCAAAAAATAACCTTTTATTTTTAAGAGAATATTTCCTATTGACAACCTGGATACATTGACTCTTCCCTATTTGCTTTAGTGATACGCACAAGCTTTAGTCAGTTGTTGTTATAGATTTGTGGAAGTACCTTTCCCGATCGTTATGACCCTAATCTCTTCTGGTCAGAAGTGGATTTGTATTCAGTGTGCATTGTTGATGTATTGCATGAGTTTCTGATGGCAGGAGTTGATAGATGTGTGGACATCAGTCGATCCATGTCAGTTGATTCCCATTAATCCAATTAGCTTAAAGCACAGCTGTGAGCATCCAGTGAGCCACATCAAGTGAGCATCCTACCCTCATCAGCCCCCTAGCTAGATGATATCACTCACAAACAGTAGCCTATGTGACGAGACCTCGAAGGTATCAAGATGCAATTTTGTGGTGTTTTAAGTCTAACTAAATACTCAAACGCATGTACATTGAAGTACAGAGACCTTGTTAAAAATCCTGTTTAAAACTGAAAATGAACAGTTTTAGAATTTGGAAAAAGTTAAAACAAAGAAACATTATGATGTGAAAAATACTGAAGATTCCTTGGTATTTCTATGTTATTAAATAAAGTAAAATACATTTAAAAACGTAAGCATCATCTCTGGAGTTTGCAGACTTTTGGACCCCACTGTACTTATGAGTGTACAGAGACTTCAATCGGGGATCTTTTCTGACCTCCTGCTGAGATTCTGCTTGTCTTCTTCCTGAGTTTCCTCTGCCCACATATGCTAAATGTGTGGAATGTGATAGTGTTAGCCAAATCGAGACTAAGCAACAGGATGTATTGGCCCTGTTTTTCTCTCTTTAAAGGATGTGGGTTTCTTTCCCCCCTCTTTTATTGTAATACTGGTGTGTTCATAGCACATACGTCTCCATTTAACTGTACACATGGTGGGTATTTTAAGAGCTCAGGGCTTCCTGTTGAGTCAATATACACATAACTGAGTTTTTGCTCAACATGTGTGTTTTATATGTTAAAAGCAAGCACTAGACACGAGCAGAACTAATGTTTTTTTTAATGTTCTTTTGATGTTATTTTTTTTGGTGAAGTTGGAATTCATTAATATGTCACCATAGTCACACATGTGGCACGATATCTGACACAATACCATTCAAAAGATTTTTATATGTTTTTGAAAGAAGTCTGTTATGCTCAGCAAGCCTGTGTTTATTTGATCAAAAATACATTGATATTGTGAATTAATATTACAATTAGGGATGCACCGAAATGAAAATTCTTGGCTGAAGCCGAAACCGAACAAAATGAAACACTGGGCCGAAGGCCGAATACCGAATACGGTTTTTCAGGTTTGTTCCCCATGTATTTTGACAATTTTTTTCACCATTGCATAAATTAAATAGCCAAAATGTGCTTTTTACTGTTTTGTCTTGTTTTTCAAAGAAAAAATCAATTACAAAACAACAATTTAAAAATATTTAACACTGAACATTTTTAACATTCTAG